AAAAACTAGAAAAATATTCTTATTGTGAAATGTTATACGATAAATATGTATTCTATTCTAGCAAAATTTGAAATAACAAGTTGTTTAGAATAACACAGCGTTTCACAAAATAGAGCAAACTTTTGTATGTAGCAGAAAATAATTCTTACTAGATCTTTTCCGTTTCTTATTATTGTCTTCATTTTCATATGATGTAGAAGTTTTTTCTGTGACACACGGAGATACATCTGAAATAAATAATTTATATTACAAAATTATGAAGAGCATCTAAGAATATATACAAAAACTGAACAAAGAATATATTATAAAATATGAGATTATTGTATATTTAATTATATCATTTTTGTATATAATAATTAAAACATCAATTTCTCTTACTTTTTGTAGTATTACTGTAGTCGGTATCATTACTGATGTTACAAAAATCGTTAAGATTTTCGACTTCACTATCTGATGAAGTTTCGTCACTCAAATTTTGTTCTCCTTGAACCGCTTCTAAATATTGAGAAATTTTTAAAATATCTCTGCTTGCCTGTGGCTGCCTATAGTGCTGTTTATGTATCTTATCTGCATGGCCCATAAATGTGGCCAACTCCGAAACTTCAACATCATTTAAATTCAATTGAATACAATGTGTCGCTATGTGTTTCCTTAATATGGTGCCGCGCAAAGTTGTAGAAGCACTTGAATTACATTCTTTTGCAAATTGGCGCATTAAAACACAAGCTCTAAGATATCTGTATCTATGGTTGCTAAAACCAGGCAATCCAAAGATATATGGATTTTTGCTTGGTACGTTAGCTTCTTTTCGCCATTTTAAAATTAAAGTAACACAATTGAATAATTCCTTAGATAATAAAACTGGCACAGTACGTCCTAATTTTCCGCGTATGCAAAATCTGATGTATTTTTCGGCAATTTTTTTATTTTCTGTTGATAATGAAATTATAAATATCGCTATTCACATTTTCACTTACTTTTTCGTAAGTATTAAAGTCTTCAATAAGTGCTCTTTCTATTTCTCCTGCTCGTCTTCGGTTAAATACGTGAATAGAGGTCAATGTAACTTGTGCTAAAGAGAGCCTTTAGAATAAGAAAAAGATTTTTGTAATTCCATGTAAGCTTCCATTCTCGTTTTTTTCAAATATTTATATAAAGCATTAATATCTTCTCGTGATGGGAGGATGATTTTTTTATGTCATTTGTGAGCTGTTTGAGTTTCTGTTACAGTTTTGTTCACACTTATTCCGATGTCAACAGTAAACAATTTCAAAAAATCTTTCGCAAATTTCTTCTTCTCTGCATTTTCTTTTTTAATACATTCTCCAATAAAGATGTTTCCTATTTGTTTAAGTAGTGTTGATAACGTAGATGCAGTAGCTGGTGCTTTATACATTTTTTCTTCATTGTTATAACCAGCGACTATATTGATTGCAGAGATGCAATAATCGTAAATTTTAGGATGATAAATCGATTGAAAGTCTTCGACATCTTTGTTAATTTTCTTCAGTGCCAATAAAAAACGTCCGAGAAGACGCAATCTGGCTCGAATCATATCATGTTGATGCTGGGCCTTGTATTTTGTGCACAATTTATTTGCATATACTATCTATAATTCGTCGTATCTTATAATACGTGTGACTTCGTCATCTCTCATTACAGGAAACACTATTTTTAATGTTTTATTTGCTAAGTGATGTAGTCTGCTCGTTACTCTTCTGCCCATAATCATAATAGTCTTATTTTTATTGAAATTTTTTTTCTGACAATAATGTGCATGGTAACGTATTGTATTTTTTGCAAAAAATCCTTTGCATTTTGAGCAAGCAATAAAATCCATGGCAGTCTTAGTGGAAATTACATTGGGCCGTCTAGATACAATTAATTTTCCGGTATTTACATTCTCGTTTGTATTAAATATGAAATTACCTTGTTTTCGAAGGATATCTATTATTTTCTTCCTTTCTTCATGTTTTTTGGGCAAAACAGCGAACTTTTTTACTTCATCTTTATCACGGTGCACTGTTATTAAGTGCCGCGCGAGTTGAGTTTGCAATTTAAAACAGAAAACACAACAGTTCTGTTTGGATTTAACGTTACTTTTATCAACAGACATTGCTTCATCATTGCATGCTGTATCAATTATACTTATTTTTGAAGTATCTAAACTGGATTGTGAGGATACAGATCTTTTTGTAGCTGATTCTTTTTGTAAGCTTACATTATTGTCATCTGATGATGTGCATTCATTTTCTGAAGGAGCGTACTCTGATCCATCATCACTATTTCCATGATCGTTATCTATATTTAACAACAGAGAAGAGAAAATGTGAATATATAAATAGATAAATTTAGATTATTTTTTCAAATGTAAATATATAACAGTTATTTTTGTAATTACGTTTATATTAAATAAAAATGCTTATAATACGATATACATTTTTATGTTAATAATTAAATCTCTAATAAGTTTAAACTTAATTGTACTGCGGATGTTGATGAACATGTACTTATTTTTTACTATGCAATTGTTTGTTGAATTTACTCATTGTTCAAAAGTAACATTTGGCAATTTATATTTACTATTTTTTTATAATTTTTATGCAACAAACTGACATATTTAATGTGTATACCATAAAATAAACAAAGTATTATATAAATAAATAATAGAAATAAAAATTACGTAAAATTTTTAAATATTATAAATACATATTTATAAATAGATATTTCAAACACTATATAAAGCCATTAAAATCTGTGCAACTACATCTATATAATATATATCAGGTTATTAAATGTTTCTGTTAGTTATAAAAAAAACAATCACTAAAAATTAATAAAGTTCACTCACAAAAAAAGTTTACACAAATATTTGCAATAAACAATTTTCAAAGAGGTATTGGATGCTTACTGATATTTTTTGACTGCTCATATCTTATTGACAAGTAATGGATATGCATATATCAATCGATAGATCTCTAAAACCAGTTATATGTACATGAATACCTCAGTATCTTCTTACATTGATAGATTTATTATAAAACGTAATTCTACATCGGTGCAATAGAAAATCTAGAGTTTTAAAATACACATTTAAATCATAACATTTGAGGAACAATTAAAAACTAATTATAAGAGACATTTACTCTTAATGACAAAATGAAATATTATATAACGAAAACTATCCTAAAGTACTTTATATATTTAAGTGTTTTAATAATTACTAGACAACACAAGCGCGCGCTTCGCGCGCGCCATTTATTCTGTTATAAATTATATATTTTTAATGACATATATACTTACTTTATGAACATAATTAACTTCTTGATACAGCTGTCAAAATTGAAATAACAATCAAAGTAAGTGTGGCGAGGGAAGAAATAACATTTTGCAAAAAAGGCAGTAATAGTTTGATGGATTCAAGTATCCAATATATATAGAAAAATATACAATAATTATATATTATATAAATAAACATATACATTATAATAAATGTTCAAAAAAGTCAAGATGATCTTGTCCTGACTATGCCAACGTCATCCAATGTCAAAATAATAAGATCTGTAATTAGATCTTCATAAACTCTGCAACTTTTATCCAAATTACTTTTCTGTATAACTTATTATTTTCTACATTTTCCAGGGATTCTTTGTTCTCAGCATGTACACACACACACACGCACACGCACACACACACACACACGCACACACATGTATGTATGTATGTATGTATGTATATATGTATATATAATATATGTATGCATGCTTATGTAAGTATATATTGTAAGAAATCGAGATTATTAAAAGAAGAATTAAGTAAAGTATTTAATTACGGATGACCGTTAAAAGTTTTAACTGTTCTTAGAAAGCGCGGAAAGTACGAAGGTTCGAGAAAGGTGTTTGAAAGTCACTCAACAAAAATATTCACGTAAAGACAAAGACTGCTATTTATTTCGTAAGACTCCCGTATACAAAAATCAACTATCTTTTAGGTATACTGCTCGAAGGAGAGTCCCGGGTTTCTCAGCTCGCTAGTTTAAATACCTTTTGACTCTCCCGCGCGCGCCGCTTTAGTTTGCGCCCTTTACGCTTATCGCCGAGGGCAGCAGTTATCGGGGACAGTTAGCTGTCGTATCGGCGCGTGCGCAATCAGCCGATCGGTGGCGATTGCTTTCAATATGAATATATATATACACATATATATATATATATATATATATATATATATATATATATGTACCACACATATACAGGATGTTCAAAAAGTATAGAAGCACCTGAATTATTCCAAAAATATGCAAGATAAAAAAATGTTTTAAACAAAAGTTGCAGGACTTCAAATAAAGCATTATGTAACAATATCAGTATGACCTTGAACAGCGTCGTCAAGGTCACGTAAAGATCACTTTACATTTTTTAATGGAAATCTCCACTTTTTATTACATATTCTTATAGTTCAGTTTTAGAATTTTTCAAAACACAATAATAAAGTATTTTTTTTAGTTATTAGATCTGAAGTTTATAGAATTTTAACATAAAATACAAAATATCTGGTAAAACATTCAGTTTTCGGTAATTTTACTTTAATATTTTTATGTACAGAACAATAAGACCAATTAATTGATATAAGAAAAACACAGAGTTGATTTTAAAAAAGTAAGTAATTTGCAATATAATATTTTTTTTTATATGAATGAAAAAATATTTTGTTATAGTGTTTTGAAAAGTTCTCGAGCGAAGCTACAAGAATATGGAAATGCAGAGAAAGTTACATTAAATATACCGGGTTTTTCAGGAAGAATAATTAACATTCTAGAACATAATAAATACAGATTATTTTAAGTTTATATAAGCATGTATTTTGTTCTGGACGCGGTTATAAAAATACAACGTGATTAGTTTTAAGAACGAATGAATTTATTTAAAAGTAGCAAATTTTATGTTTACAATTATATTATACATATAAAACAATTAAATTTTATAATTTTGATTAATTAATAGTAACATTTTGAAATTCTTCTCTCTTTATTCTTGTTTGCTTTTTTTCTTGATCTGACACTAAAAGATATTCTAATAAATAAATAAATAAACATATATGCACATATATGCATATATAAAATGTAATTATTGTATAATATATATGCAATTTTATATATAGTATTATGTATATAGTTATATTATATTATATACAAAGTGTTTCAAGAAGAATGATTAGCATTCTAAAGTATAGAAATATGAGATTGTATACCTTATTTTAAGCAATAAAGTTTATATAAACATGTGTTTCATTTGTGAACGTGGTTATAAAACTACAACGTGTTCAGTCTTAAGAACAAATACATTTTTTTTACTTAATAGAAGCAAATTTTATGAAACAATTACATTAAATTTTAAGCTTACAATTTTAAATAATTAATTTAAATTAATATTAATTAGTAAACAATAATTTAAATTAATTAACAATAAATTTGGCATAAGTGTAAACATAAAACATTTTAATTACACCAGAAACAAAAAATTTCAAATTAACGCAAAACTTATTAAATGTGACCTAATGTTTACATTTGTATTCGGATAGTAACAGAAAACGACAAAAATTAATTAATTAATTAATTAATTATTGTTTCATAGTATTTATTTCTCCAAAATTAATAAATGTGTTTGATCTTTAAAATTGAACACATTTTATCTTTAAAACCGTCCAAAATAAGATGTTTGTATAAATTTGTTTGCTTAAAATAATTCATACAATCATGTTCTAGAATATAACCATAGAATATTGATCATTCCTTGAAACATCTTGTATATGTATATAGGATATACCACCAAAAATAGCTATTCTCTTTTATTTTTTAAACTAAAAGAGATAGACTATAATATACATATCAAATTAAATGGTCCAATCTGAATTCTATTGTAAGCATACCCAAGTAAGAAACAAATATATAAAAAATGTTTAAAACTCATTTCAAAGATATTTTTAAAATGTTAAAATAATTGGTTAAGTCCCTTTTTATATAAGTCACATTTTAAAAAAACGTTTACCTTAATGTTAATTCAATATAAATATTTATTTAACATTTATTAAATATTTAATTAAGACATTTCTATCAGGCTCTCAATATTAAATATAATGATAGAAAGGCTGTAAGAACCGAACGCGGATGTTGCTGCGTGTATTCCGACGAAAATTAATTTTTCATCGGAAATAAATAATTATATGCACAAGGCACGAATTTTACTTGGTCACTGCCAAGACTTAAATATATGGAATAATCTCATCTTTGAGATTTAATTCCATTGAACCCCCTCTGACCCCCCTTAAAGAAATAAATGCGAGAAAAATATAGATCCGAAAGTGGCTGAATCGGGAATCGAACCCGAGAACCTTATATTTAAGAGAACCAAAATATTTAATATTTTATTATTAAAATATTAATAAAATAAATGTTTATTTAACGTTTATTACATATTTATTTTATTAATATTTTTAAAAAATATAAAAATTTATTAATATTTTTTAAAAATATATAAAATATTTAATAAACGTTAAATTAATATTTATAATACATTAACATATAAAAGTAAACTTTTTTTAATGAATAAAAAGGGACTTAACCAATTATTTTAACATTTTTTAAATAGCTTTTAAAATGAGTTTTAAACATTTTTTATACATTTATTTGCTACTTCGTAGTGGTTGCTTACTGAAGCTGTTTATGTAAACAAATGGAAAAGTTTGCACTCTCTGTTTCTCTCTACGCAGATATAAGGTGAATCAAAAATATTGTTTTCAAAATTTGTGAGCTTGTTCCTTTTTATGCAAGAATACACAAATTTTTTAAACATACTTTTGACTCACCTTGTACACACACACCGATTACACTTATTACTTTTAATGATGATATAATTTTTACCTGTTGTGATGAATTTTCTTCAAATTTCTTTTTCTTTAACGTGCGATTAACATTTATTATTCTAGTCAAAGACATTCGCTCTTCTAATTTCTTAATGTCTTTTAGACTTTGTACTGAAAAGTACGATGGATCAACTGTAAATAATTATTACACAGTTATTATATATAAAAATAAAATATATATGTATAATTTCGAAAAAGAATAAAGGTATTAACATATAATCATAAAAAAATTGCTGTGAAATGTGTGTGTATACGAAGGAAAGGGAACAAGGAAATCATTTTAAACAATTACTTAAATATTTAATAATGTTATTGAATTTAAAATTTGTTAATTTAATGTTGTTTGAAAATTTGTAAGTTCAAAAAATAAATGAATTTATCGATAATTCTTTAATTTAGTTGATAATCGAAGATATAAATTTATTGACATTTTTTGATTTACAAAAACATTTTTAAGAAGCCCTTAAATTTATTATTATATTTTTTTTAAACACCATGATTACGAAATCAAAATATCAAAGCAGGAAAGTTTAAAATTAATGAAATTGAAATTAATAATAATAATAATAAATAGTTAAACATTTCCTACTTGCATATTGCATCTCGCCAATTACTTTAATTTTATCTCCTTTCATAAGTTCATAATCGTTTTCATCAAAATTTATAATATGTACTTCTAATTTAAAGTACCCATCAGTGATAGATCCACATCCAATTTTCTTATTTAAATTAGTTTTATAAATTGGCCCAAAATTGGACTTTATATAGCCCTCTAATGCTATAAAAGAAAAAATATATAAACATATATAAATATATAAACATATACATATACAGAGTGAGTCTAATAGAAAATTCATTACGTTCTTCTCAGAAAGAAAAGGTTAAAGATATATATATATATATATATATATATATAAAGGAAGATGTAAAGAATAATATATATTATCAAAATTATAGGTTTAAAAATATCTATTTACAAATCTTATCACTTTGACCTTAAATGGTGTTGCCAAGGTCAAAACAAAAACTTGAATTTTTTAAATAAAATCACCATACTTTTTTTATACAAATTGATTTCTATAATATTCTGTATAAAAAGTTATAAGAGTAAAAAAGTCAAAAAGTGAAAAGTTTACGAGATATTTCATATTTTAATTTGACATAATCTTACATAAATTATGAAATAATCTTGTAAAATATTCATTTTTCGATAATCTTATCCTAATACTTTTATGTACAAAATGGCTTTTAGTTGAAAATTACATATTTTTTCTTAAAAACAATTATGTATTTTCTCTAGACTAATCGATTTTTCTCATTATTTTATTCATAAAAATATGAAGATAAGATTATCAAAAAATGAATATTTTAAGAGAAATTTCACAGTTCATGTAAGATTATGTAAAATTAAAATATAAAATATTTTATAATCTATATATTCACTTTTTAATCATCCTACTCTTTTATAACTTCTTATACAGAATATTACAAGGAATCAATTTATAAAATAATAAAAATATATAATGATCTTATTTAAAAAATTCAAGATGTTTTTACTTTGACCTTGGCAACGTCATCCAAGATCAAAGTGATAAGATTTGTAAATCGATATTTTAAACCCTAATTTTGAAAATAGATATTTTCTATATCTTTCCCTATCTCTAATCGTTTTTGAAAAAAACGTGGTGGACTTTTTATCAGACTCATCCTGTATATGTATATATTCAAGATGTTTGATTTAATCGGTCTACACCAATATTTCGAAAAATATAGAAAATACGAAAAAAATGTTTTATAAAAAAGTTTTATGACTTTGAGGGGGACAGATAGGATATCATTGGTTTGATCTTGCATAATCGTTTGAATCTTACGTGAAGGTCACTTTCAGTTTCTTAAATGGAAACCCTTATTTTTTAATGCATATTCTTGTAGTTGCTTATTTCGAGAGCTTTCCAAAACACTATAATAAAATACTTTCCTCTTAAGTACTTTTTGAGATATAAAGCTTAAAGTTTACAATTTTTTAACATAAAACATACAATATCTTGTAAAATATTCAGTTTTCCATAATCTTACTTTAATACTTTTATGCACGGAATAATGAGACCAATTAATTGATATAAAGAAAACAAAAGTATTTAAAAAAAATGTAAGTAATTTGCCACTGCAGCTGCACACTTTTTTTTAATGCAAATATGTATTTTTTTACACTAATTGATTGATTTCATTATTCTATGCATAAAAGTATTAAAGTAAAATTGCTGAAAACTGAATGTTTCACAAGATATTTTGTATTTTATGTAACTCAAGAAATATTTAAGAGAAAAATATTTTATTATATTATTTTGGAAAGCTTTCGAGATAAGCTACAAGAATAAGTATTCAAAAATAGGAGCTTCCATTTAAAAAATAGAAGTTGATCTTCATGTGACCTTCAAACAATTATCCAAAATCAAACTAATGATACCATTTTTCGTTTCCCTTGTAGTTATAAAACTTTGGTATAAAACATTTTTTTTGTATTTTCAATACTTTTCGAAATATTAAATAGTATTATGAGAAATGAATAAAAATAAAAAGAATAATAATAAACAATTCATGAGTATGAGAAGGCATAAGATTGAATTGTAATTTACCGACTCTTGATGATGTATTCATTACATCACAAAACTCCACAAGCTCCGGTTCGATTAAATTGGTTCGTTCCATATTATATTTCCCCAAATTGGAGATTGTTGTATTACTCTGGATCTGTAGCTCGTAGGGCACATTGCCGTTATTATATCGTGAAATTTTAGGAGTACGAGCCTGCACTCCGTCTAAATGAATAATCTATAATATAAATTTTATATTAATTAAAAATATACAAATAATTAACTTATTGAATTAAAATTAAATTTGAAAAATTTCTTAAATAAATAACATACGTATATATATATATATATATATATAATATATATATATATATATATATGTATTTATTTATTTTTTATGTTCCTTTTGTATGTTTCTTTCGTAAAAAATTCGAAAATTTATATTATTTAAAAAATTCAAAATTTCATGAAAAATGATCACCGATCTTCATTAAATTTAATAGCAACCATTTTTATTCTTTAATGATACTCTATTCAAGTTCTTTATTCTTTAATGATACTCTATTCAAGTAAAAGAATTTACCTCGATATGTCAAAATTTATAGAAGTTAGAACAATCACAAACATTTATCGAAAAATTAAAATTGCATTAAAATTTAAAATACTATATAAATTTTTATAAAAATGGTAATAAATAAAAGTATTGTACTATTTTACTTGTATGCCAAAGTGGAGTGCCGTAGCTCAAACAATTCTTGAAACGTTTAAATTTTCGGAAAAATGAGTCGGCAGACATACTATATATACATTATACATACATACATACATACACATAGATATTTTTTAATGTAATTTTTTGATGGTTTGGAAAATTCTGAACACATTGATCTGAAAGATTTTTTCACGAAAACTAAGTTTCCTCTATGAGAAAGCAAAAAGAGAAAACAAATACTCACGTGGTTTAATTTTACATGTGGTTCTACGGGTGTAATATCGTCATTCCACACGACAACTTGTACTCGCCTCCCTTCGCCATTATTAATATAAAATTTAAAAACTTTATATTGTTTCATGTCGCCAACAGAACGTGTGGCTTCAATACTGTCTACAAAGCCTACTACCTCACTACAAAAATAAAGAAATTAAAAAGTATAAAGAAAGTAAAGAGAAATTAAAGTAGTAAAAAATTTTAAAAATTAAAAAATAAAAATAAAAAATTTTACATATTATATAATATGTAAATAATTATTTAACACTCTTCCAGTATTTTTATATATTTTTTAATAGAAAAATATATTAAAAAAATAATTATATTGATATATTATGTATGTAACGTATACTTTTTAGAAAGTATGAAAAATGGAGAATTTCCCCAGATTCAACTCAAAAAAATGCCAAACTGTCTTTTAATAAAACCATAGAAATTATAAAAACAATGATAAATTATTAAATTAAGGCCATGTGTAACGAGCAATACGATATTATTTTATTATTGAGAAGAAAATTCTTAATTTGAAATAATAATTATACAAACGTTTCGAGCTCTACTTGCTCCTCTTCAGTGCGCAAAAAAATAGTGATAATAAATAACGATAATAAATAAATACATAAAATTCTAATAAAAAATCCGCAATACATAGTCAATATAAGTTATATAGTTGAGTCATAGTTAAAACGCAAAATATATTTACAATGAATTGAGACCATTAAAATAGTTCAACAAAGTAAGAACCCAATTAGAAGCAGAATGATTCGTCCGGTTATTCATAAAATATATTAGAATTATTAATAAAAACTTGGAGTGACACTTATACATTACTCCAAATGAACCACTTATCGTTATTTGACGAAAGTCCCTCGATCTGGCAATGATTATGTTCATCCTCTCCAAATTATTTGATATTTGTTAACTGAATTTAAAGAATTTATTCAATTGTAAAATAGGATTCCACTAATGTGTATGTGAAAAAAAGATTAAAAATTATAAATTAAACTAACTACTAAAATATTGAACCTTTATGCTTACAAATTGTTCCGAATAACTTGAGATGACGATGCTTCTAATTGTTGTTGGTCTTATTGTTAGTACTTGACTGTTGTCTAGTCTTTTAAAAAGTCGAATAAATAGGGATCAAATAATTTGGAGAGGATGAACATAATCATTGCCAGATCGAGGGACTTTCGTCAAATAACGATAAAAAAGGTAAAAAAAGGCGACCAGTTAAGGGCACGCCATTAACAAAAATTATCCATTGCAAACCCATGTAGAATCCTATGAAAAATTAATCATTGCAAACCCATGTAGAATCCTAGGCAAAATTAACCATTGCAAACCCATGTAGAATCGTACCCATTGCAAACCTATGTAGAATCCTATGAAAAATTAACCATTGCAAACTCATGTAGAATCCTATGAAAAATTAACCATTGCAAACCCATGTAGAATTGTATTAAAAATTATCCATTGCAAACTTATGTAGAATCCTACATTGCAAACCCATGTACAATAGAATTGTATGAAAAATTATCGATTATAAACCCATGTACAATCGTAACAAAAGTAATGAAATAAAAAAAAATTGCGCCAAGTGAAAGTAGAAACTTGTACCAGTGGAAAATTAAAGTTGCAGACATATATAGAGTCGTATAATGAATCAGTAAAAATTTAAATTTGCAAATGTAGAATCGTACCATAAAAAAACTTATCTTTTAAAAAAAAAGATAAACAAGATGCCAAGTCCATGCGCCATGTGAAAAAGAAATAAAAAAATTTTAGTTAAAAAAACTGGGCGCGCTGCTAAGTTTCAAAATTACAATGCACCTTAAAGTAACATTAATTAATTTAAACACAAAACATATTTTAACTGTAATGAGTTTAAAAGTAACAATTTAATTTTAATATTGTTAGAATATTATTTAGCAGCGCTCCCAGTTTTTTTAACTAAAATTTTTTTATTTCTTTTTCACATGGCGCATGGACTTGGCATCTTGTTTATCTTTTTTTTTAAAAGATAAGTTTTTTTATGGTACGATTCTACATTTGCAAATTTAAATTTTTACTGATTCATTATACGACTCTATATATGTCTGCAACTTTAATTTTCCACTGGTACAAGTTTCTACTTTCACTTGGCGCAATTTTTTTTTTATTTCATTACTTTTGTTACGATTGTACATGGGTTTATAATCGATAATTTTTCATACAATTCTATTGTACATGGGTTTGCAATGTAGGATTCTACATAAGTTTGCAATGGATAATTTTTAATACAATTCTACATGGGTTTGCAATGGTTAATTTTTCATAGGATTCTACATGAGTTTGCAATGGTTAATTTTTCATAGGATTCTACATAGGTTTGCAATGGGTACGATTCTACATGGGTTTGCAATGGTTAATTTTGCCTAGGATTCTACATGGGTTTGCAATGATTAATTTTTCATAGGATTCTACATGGGTTTGCAATAGGATAGGATTCTACATGGGTTTGCAATGGATAATTTTTGTTAATGGCGTGCCCTTAACTGGTCGCCTTTTTTTACCTTTTTTTAAAGGTGAGTTTTTAGAGATTATATCATTCATTTTTGTATATTTTTATGACCGGAATAGAACAATTATTAAACATGTTTATCTAAATATAATTTAACGTATAAGACGGGCAACAAGAGCCAAATCGCGGATGACAATGCGTTATCCTAACGAAACTAAATAATTTTTCGTTAGAATTAAATACCGGTGCACAAGGCACCAAATTTTTACTTGGACACGGCCAAGATTTTAAATATGAAATAATCTCATATTTTGAGATTTAATTTCAATACCCCTTTAACCCCCCTACGGAAAATAAATAAATGAATGCAAGAGAAAAATATAGATCCGAAAATCGCTGAATCGGGAATCGAACCCGAGACCTTTCGCTTGCCGGGCGACTGTTTACCAACATTAATATATATAACAGAGAAAAGTATAGAATCGAAAGGATCTGAATAGCTCAGCTGGAAGAGCAGTCGCCCGGCAAGCGAAAGGTCTCGGGTTCGATTCCCGATTCAGCGATTTTCGGATCTATATTTTTCTCTTGCATTCATTTATTTATTTTCCGTAGGGGTTAAAGGGTATTGAAATTAAATCTCAAAATATGAGATTATTTCATATTTAAAATCTTGGCCGTGTCCAAGTAAAATTTGGTGCCTTGTGCACCGGTATTTAATTCTAACGAAAAATTATTTAGTTTCGTTTATAACGCATTGTCATCCGCGATTTGGCTCTTTTTGCCCGTCTTATACGTTAAATTTATATTTATATTACAGAGCCTTGTTAAAACTCTTATGTTTATCTAAACTTCTTTGCTTAAAATGATGTGTACAATCATATCCTAGAATCCTGATCATTCCTCCTAAAGCACCCTATTTATATAAATTTACCCATATGTGTGTGTGTGTGTGTGTGTGTGTGTGTGTGTACTAATGTCGAGCATTTTTTATACATTTTCTATTAAATTTAGATAAAAGTTGCAGGATTTCGAAAAAGAAAAAGTTGACACAGACTTTTTCCTAAACGGCGATTTTCAAGGTTATTTAAAGGTCACTTATATTTTCAAAATAGAATTACCTTAATTTTTCTCATATAAATCGATTCCTCGCAATATTTACTATAAAAAGTTGTAAAGGTATAATTTTTACATAATCTTACATAAACTTCGAAATATTACAAATATTTTATTTTATGAAATATTTCAGTTTATGTAAAATTATGTTAACTATCTTTTAAATTATTCACTTTTAGCCATCTTACCCTTACAACCTTTTATAGTGAATATTGCAACAAATTGGTTTATATATATAATATATATATAACATCAGTTATTATTAATTGATGTTTACATTTATTTTTAGACTTACTAGAGCTCAAATGCTCCACATTTTTTGCAAAAACTGTTTATTCTACAGATTTCAAATATGCTTTTAAATGATGATTGAATATTTCCTTTTTTTAATTATTTTTATTATTATTTTTCAATCTCAATCAACTTTTATAACTTTATGCCAGCACGATACAAATACATGTGTCTTTATTTTTTTTATTATTTTCATTATTATTTTTCAATCTCAATCAACTTCTATAACCTTATGCCAGCAGGATACAAATACATGTATGTCTTTATTATTGTATCAACTCTTGTCTTTTCCATGTAACCATGTCTTCATAGTTTGAATTATCCCTTCATCTTCTCAATCTTTCGCAGAGATTTAATTAATTAAATACACTTCACACGAAATAAAGTTTGCTGGAAGATATACAGCAAACGATAACTGTAAAAACATGATTACGTGGAAAGAACAAGAGTTGGTACAGTAAAGGCAAGTAAGTAAGTACATGTAATGTATCGTATTGGCATAACGCTATATCCGCGGAGCAGATAATGTGGCTGTAGAGGTAGTCTGCAGTGCAGCTAATGTGGACGTAGATGTTGATTGAGATAATTGTCTAATATAAAATAGAATTTAAAAATTTAGTTTAAAAAGCTGTTGCATATATAAATAAAGTTTATTTTTTCTAAATTTGGAATATGTTTAATTAATTAATTTTTTAAGTCTATGTTTAATAAATTTTTTAAGTCTGTATTCAATAATTTTATTCATTTGATAAATACATGTATGTCTTTATTTTGATATGTTTAATATAATTAGAAATTCATTATTAATTAGATATGTAAACTATAAATTCATATATAATATTTGAAAATATATGTGAATATTTAAATTTTTATCTTCTCCTTCCTCTCCTTCAATCTCTTTAATATCAATATGTGTATGTGTGTACACGCGCGCACATTTGTACGTATTTATTTAATTATTGGATAGTTGAGAGTACTTAATTGATAAAAAATTATGACAATAATAATCCTTGTTTTTTTTTCTTATTATTTACTCAGATTTTTTTGTCTATCTTATAAGATAAACACTTTAGAGATTGAATATTTCAAGTAAACTAATTGTAAGTAAATTTCACATTAATGCATATAGATGTTTAATCATGAATGTACTAAATAAGTACACAAGACGAACAGTGAGTGAGTGAGTGAGAATGAGA